TGTATGTATGTATGTATGTATGTATGTATGTATGTATGTGTGTGTGTGTGTGTGTGTGTGTGTGTGTGTGTGTGTGTGTGTGTGTGTGTGTGTGTGTGTGTGTGTGTGTGTGTGTGTGTGTGTAAGTATGTGAGTCGCTTATAACTTTTGAACGGCTAAACCGATCGGAACCTACCAAACGGCGTTCTAAAGAGTTCCCTCAACCTTAGATTTCCTGTGAATTTGAACCGATTCGGACTGATAGATTTTGGGAAATTTTGAAAAATCTCAAAAAAACTAAGAAAAAAATTTTTTTTCTAAGTAGTTTTTTTGGAATAACTTTTAAACGGCTTTATCGATCAACTCCAAAAACTAATTCGCCCTTAGGCCTGAAAAACCACGTCGATCGCCGCTAATCCGGTCAAAATCGGTTGATTTGTTCGAGAGATATCGTGAACGAAAGAAAACCGAAAAAAGTGTTTTTTTCACATAACTTCGACGTTTCTTATCGGATTGTTTTTAAAAAAATAGAATTATTTTTAGAGCTCAAAAAACTGCGTCGATCGCCGCCTAGAACGTAAAAATCGGTTGATTGGTTCGAAAATATTTGTCGAGGATATCTTGAACCAAGTGTTTGGAACCAAGTGTTTTTTTAACATAACTACGAAATTTTTTGGAATAACTTTTTAACGGCTAAACCGATCAATTTCAAAAACCAATCAGCTACTAGCATCAAAAAATGACGTCGATTGCCGTCAAGCCGGTCAAAATCGGTCAATTCGTTCGAGAGATATCGTGAAAGAAAGTAAACCAAATAAAATGTTTTTTATGAATTACTCCGAATTTTGTAGTTTTATCAATTCAAACTTGGAAATTCTTCATGAAGCTGAAAAAACTGCGTCAAATGACGCCAGTTGCGTAAAAATCGGTTGATTCATTCAAAAGTTATTGTGATTTGAAAATTCAAAAAATATTGTTCTATGAAACTTCTATCAGATTTTTGAGATCGAAGAGCTCAAAAGCATAAAAAAGCTATCTCTTTAAGCTCGGAGAGCTAAAAATAATACATAAATCGGAGAAGTCAAAAACATCATTAGTGCAATTTTAAGCACCTAGGTATGGAATTGGCGGGAAGTTGTCGGGATGGCCTTCAGTGTCTACCGTTTTTCTAATTTTTTTTTTTCATGACCGTTATTTAGTTTAGATTTTTAAAATTTTTATTCTTACAATTTTTCGCTGTTTAGAAGCTAATAAAACATTTAAAAATTTTTAAATTTATAATAATCGGTATAACTAGAATATAGAAACTTATAATTTTCTTGATCCCTTTATCTCTTGTTATTTATAAAAGTTATTCATAAAAGATTCTCAATTCTTTAAATCTATCAAAAGAAATTTTTGAGTTTTATATTTTTCTAATTTCGATTTAAAAATTGTGATGATCTTCACAACGAAAGTTGCGATTCATAATATTTTCAAGCACAGTCGTCGGTGTCTCATACATTTAAAAAAGTTCTAACAATTTGAATCAATGGAAGAGTAGTTATAAATTTAATATAATATATCTTATCATTTTTCAGGTTTATAAGTTACTTCAAAACACCACAGTTATGGAGTAGTGACTTGAAAAATTTGTATTATCTTTCCCATTGTTTTTAATTAGAGTTATAACCTTACAGTGTTCTAAATTTAACATAGATTTTTTTTGGCTGCATATCTTTGAATTTTTGAACACGATAGTTAATTATCACGAGAAGCGTGCGAAATATTTTTCATCAGTTTGCTTCCGCAACTTAGAGAGGATTTATTACAATATATTTAAGTTACATTAAGAAATTATTTTTGGCTCCTTTACTAGTGTTTTTTAAATACATAAAAGAGTTCAGGGAAACAAGTGTTTTTTCAACATAACTCCGACATTTTTTGGAATAACTTTTAAACGGCTTTACCGGTCAATTTCAAAAACTTATCAGCTACTAACATCAAATAATTATATCGATCACCGTCAAGCTGGTCAAAATCGGTCAATTCGTTCAAGAGATGTCGTGAAAGAAAGAAAACCAAATAAAATGTTTTTTCGCAATTACTCCGAATTTTGTAGTTTTATCAATTCAAACTTGGAAATTCTTCATGAAGCTGAAAAAACTGCGTCAAATGACGCCAGTTGCGTAAAAATCGGTTGATTCATTCAAAAGTTATTGTGATTTGAAAATTCAAAAAATATTGTTCTATGAAACTTCTATCAGATTTTTGAGATCGAAGAGCTCAAAAGCATAAAAAAGCTATCTCTTTAAGCTCGGAGAGCTAAAAATAATACATAAATCGGAGAAGTCAAAAACATCATTCGTGCAATTTTAAGCACCTAGGTATGGAATTGGCGGGAAGTTGTCGGGATGGCCTTCAGTGTCTACCGTTTTTCTAATTTTTTTTTTTCATGACCGTTATTTAGTTTAGATTTTTAAAATTTTTATTCTTACAATTTTTCGCTGTTTAGAAGCTAATAAAACATTTAAAAATTTTTAAATTTATAATAATCGGTATAACTAGAATATAGAAACTTATAATTTTCTTGATCCCTTTATCTCTTGTTATTTATAAAAGTTATTCATAAAAGATTCTCAATTCTTTAAATCTATCAAAAGAAATTTTTGAGTTTTATATTTTTCTAATTTCGATTTAAAAATTGTGATGATCTTCACAACGAAAGTTGCGATTCATAATATTTTCAAGCACAGTCGTCGGTGTCTCATACATTTAAAAAAGTTCTAACAATTTGAATCAATGGAAGAGTAGTTATAAATTTAATATAATATATCTTATCATTTTTCAGGTTTATAAGTTACTTCAAAACACCACAGTTATGGAGTAGTGACTTGAAAAATTTGTATTATCTTTCCCATTGTTTTTAATTAGAGTTATAACCTTACAGTGTTCTAAATTTAACATAGATTTTTTTTGGCTGCATATCTTTGAATTTTTGAACACGATAGTTAATTATCACGAGAAGCGTGCGAAATATTTTTCATCAGTTTGCTTCCGCAACTTAGAGAGGATTTATTACAATATATTTAAGTTACATTAAGAAATTATTTTTGGCTCCTTTACTAGTGTTTTTTAAATACATAAAAGAGTTCAGGATTTTAATGTCTAGCAAAAAAATTTTTTTGGGACTCATTTCTTCGAATTTTTTTATTAATTCTATTATTCAAAGTATTTATCTCTCGAGCGTGATTTAAAAAAGAGATTTGAAAAGATTCAAAATGGCTCAAAACGATTAAAAAAGATTCAACTTGACAAATATACAGATATACATTTTGCATGGGTTGAATCGTTTTAAATTTTTTTTAATAAGGACGTTGTTGAATTTCAAATTTAATTTCATGTTAAAATTTTTTTTGTTCTGTTCTAAATTATTTATGCTTTAATAGAATAGATAAATAATTATTATCTATATTTAATTAGTTCATTTCCTAATTACTGTCTTAATAAATTCCCACAATGCCAACTTGTCAAATGTATTCACATCTATAAAAAGTCTCGTAGGGTAAAAGACCCCATTAGTGGCGGGGACCCCATTACTGACACTTTCTTTGATTTTGGTACTTATTCAATCAATGAAATCATTAATTTCAATAATGCATATATTATTTCTAATCTTCAAGACCATTAGATCAAAAAAATTTTTAATTTTTATTCCAAGTAGAACATTTTTTCATTGAAAGAAAAAATGCCATTAATGGGGGTTAAAGGTGCCACTAATGGGGTCTTTTACCTTAGTACATATTTCTACGTAGCATTCAAAATCGAAAGATATATCGAAAGTATGAGCGTGGTTGCCATACAAAGTATGACGAGAAAACGTATTTACGAAATGAACAATCAGGAAACACCTAACAACTTAAATTTCTCTTGAAATAAAAGATTTTAAATTTGATATTGATGCAGCACCGCAAAAATTAGTAGCTAAATTGTACAGTCATTTAAGGTTATACCAAAAAATTTTCTGCAAACTTTAATTGAGGTCATGCAGTGTTTTTTTGGTGATTCTTTATGAGGAATACTGCGGCATTAAAAGGAAATCAACGGCATGTTAAAGATTAAAAGAATCCATTTTCGCATATTAATTCTGAATATGCTCTCTTAAATTATTTTAGCAGTCTTGATACATTTGTAAAGCCAAAATCTTACGTCATAGAACGGACTTTTGTCATCACAAAATCAAAATCGGGCAGTCGAGAAAAATACATAGGAATATGTAGTCAGAGTATTCCACTTAGAAAGTCATTGAAAAAATTTTTTGGACAAAGTAATAATTTTGAAATTATTACAACATTTATGTCAAAACTAATGTAAAATTCAGAAATTATTGAAAATTATATACAATGTAAATCTTTTAAACCGAAATTATTGAAATATAAAACTGACAATACTGTCATTCCATTCAACTTAGCTGGAGATGATATAGAACATAATGACGCCTTTAGTTCTCAGAGAAAATAATGACACTATATGCTTCAATACTGTCTACCTCCTGAATCCCGATCACAGCAATAATTCGTTTGCTCGTATGAAGAGAAATAAAACTAACAGAACTATAAATATTTAGTATCCTCTTATCAATGAAATTAAGTATTCAGAAGAAAAAATAATTGATGTACGGACAGACAAAAGTATAAAGCACTTATATTTTATTTTGGGCTCAATCCAAGATGATAATCTTGGTCTGCACGGGTTACTTGTCTTCGTAGAATCCTTTGTGTTAAATAACTACTGCTGATTTTGTAAAATGGATAAAGAAACTTGCAAAACTGCTGTAAATATTCTACCTGGATTGAAATGCACAAAGAAGAAGTATGACTCAGACTTTTTATTAAATAATATTTACAAAACCACCATAAAAGAAAAATGTATCTTCAACAAAAAACAGACTCTTCACGCTGTTGAAAATTATAGCATTGATGAAATGCATGATTTTAGAGAAGGTGTAGGTAATGATGACATGATAGGTTTTCTTTAGGCAGTAACTAGTAAAAAAAGTAAATTTTATACTTTTCCTTTCACCAAATTAAACGATCGTTTAATGTAGTTTAATTACGGGCCAATTTACAACTTAAACAAGCCCCACCTGATAATAGAAGAAAATTTTAAATAAAATTGACTGCAACTGAATTTACCGACTTGGTTGAATTTTTAGGAATTTTGGTAGAAGATTGAATACCAGAAACTAATCCATATTGAAACTTGTATTCATTACTAAGAGAAATTTTGGATTATCATTTAGCAAAAAAAATACTAAAGAACAAATATCTAATTTTAACTGTATAGTCACCCGTCATAACCTTCTTTATATGAATTAACTAATAATTATTTGAAGTCCAAACGTCACTATAGCGAAGTATACTTTACATATAAGTGAACAGAGTGGATCAGTAATTAATTTTTCAGGCATACAACCTGAGTCAAAACATACAAATTTAACATTGTATGTTACTGTCGGTAAATCTCGCGGTGATTAATGTCAGTGCCTTTAATTGGGTACACGTTGCAAGCGTTTACAGAGAATGATAGGTCAACTTCCACAACACAGAATAAGTTATTGCAGTAAAAAATTTATTAAATTACAAAATTGAGCGCGCATTGCGCGCTTCTGTCAAAATATTTATTATCGACGATTTAACTAATCAATATTTTTATAAATTTTATTCATTAATATATAACCGTTGCTACGGTAATCGTTGCTATAGTAACTGTTGCCAAAATGGTTACCATAGCAACGAAAGGCGACATCAATGAAAACGTCGCATCATTTTTGTAATAAAGGATTTCGCGATATTTGATAAATTTAAATAAAACGATACTAAGATTTATAAACCCATTAGTATAAAATCTTAGACTGATCAGTAATATTCGAATATTTTATAAGAAAATAATTATCAAAGCGACAAAAATTAAAATTTGTTACGATAAGTATTATTTATATTTTTTTAATAAAATATAATTAAATTGAAACAGTTATTTAAAAAAAACTGAATAATAATTTAAAAACCGGACAAAGATTTTCAATCCACTTTTAGATAACAGCTAGGTATAACAACCAATTCTACTGTAATTAAACTGACAACAAACCCAGCATTAAATAAAAGTACAGCTTATATTTTGACTTCAATTTTGACTTCAATTTACGTCTGAAAATATGAAAAGAATACTTACTTCTTCCAAGAATCCATCGGGAAGAAGCTGCAGCAATTTATCTTTAGGATACAATTTTCTATGATTTTCAATTTTTTTCTTATTCCTTTTAAAAATAGCTGTCCGTGATTTTCCTTGATTCCCATTCATTATAAAATAAATTAGGTTCCTAAAATAAAATAAAAATTATTTTATAATTATATTGATTATTATCATAAATATTTATATATAATAAATTTAATCACAATTAAGAATAATAAAACTACAGAAACTATGATCACAATTAACTAGATTGATGCAATGAGAAAAAAAAAGTATATTTCAGCTCTAAGAAAACAATTAAAAAATTACTAGATAGCAATATTTAGCTGTCTCATTTTATAAAATTTTTATTGTAGTACAAAAAAATCAAAATATACGTATAATTTTAAATAAAAGTTTTTGATAATATTTTAAAATAGATTGACAATAACGGAAGAAAAAATTCACTAGTTCCTTAATGCCCTTAATTAAGTTACCTTAATGCCCTTAAAATCAAATAGAATTTTTTCTATTGTTGTTCGAGTTTGTTCATATATATCCGACGTTTTAAGTAATTAATTTATTATTGTTCAAAGCTAATAATTTATTATTGTACGCTAATAATAAAATCTCATTTGAGATAGATACAACACTAAAACTATAAAAAATAAAAGTAAATAACTAAATCATACGATGGAAAAATTAGGCTTTACTTTACAACGACTAATAAAATCCATTAAATTTAATGCTTTATTAAAAACTAACTAAGTATTAAAATTTAAGAAAAATACTTAATGACCAACCATGTTAGATGAAAAAAATTAAATAAAGCGCATTTAAAACAATTTTATTGTAACGAAACTTGTGTTTAGAGAATTTTATGTAGTAATTTTTATCCAAAATTAAGATTTTTTTTTTTAAATTACTCAGTTAAAATTGGTAGCTTATAATTAAAATTAAACTTACCTTTTGATCTAAATTTAATTATCCAGAATTTTCAAGATGCGTATCACAACTCAATGTTTTTCACAATAATAATAATAATAATAATAATAATAATAATAATAATAACCTGATATTGTGCTCTTCGACAAGACTACTCGTGGCATTTATGTCATAGAGTTTTCGGCCCCGGCTTAATACAACATCTCAGCCAAAGAAGAGCACAGAAGACAAATATATCAGGATCTCCTGTTTGAAATTGGCAAACTTTACCCAGGTTACCGTGTCAAGCTTGTCGTCCTGATTGTTGGCGTCCTTGGAGGGATGAAACAGTCTTTTGTATCCTCACTTGCCAGAGTTCCAGCTTGCTCATCAAAAGCTGAGTTCTTGGCAGTCAGGATGCAGAAGGCTGTGATACTAGGTTCCCTCCGTCTACTTAGGAAAATGACTTTGGCCTGCTGTGATCACTCACCGCCTTGTTGTGCGGAGTGGTCCAGCAGTAATGGATGGAGCTCAGGCTGGGCCCTCGGAGAGTCGGACTCCGGGGAAAACCCCCCTGAGCATTTAATAAAATAATTATAATAATAATAATAATAATAATAATAATAATAATAATAATAATAGTAACTGAACAGTACTATTTCAACGATGGAGAAATAATTTGGATATGATATTTTACATTTAATGAAAACTAAACATTTTTCAAAATGGCTAACACAAATATCTCTAGTCACGTTCAGTATGTACTACGTTGTACTTCTTGACGGCAGAATAACTTTTGGATTGAGTACTGGCGTCGGGACAAAATGGTTAAATGCGCATGAGCCAAGTTTACTGCGCATGTCGTCGTAAGCGTGTGACTTGAGAATGTAGATGTGTTAGTATGAAGAGGAATATTCTCGAAAGAATTCAGCCATTATTTGAGAGCGCGCAAAGTTGCAGACACTTTGGAATTATCTGTTCTATCGGTTAATTATTTATTGCTTTATAGTGAATTTGTCATAATTTTTTTATTAAGTGTTGATTGTAAGTGGTAAACAGTTCACATTACTTAATAAAAAAAAAACTATCGTATCAAAAGAAGGTTAGTTCGTCATGTTTTTATATTAATATAGTGAATGTAGAAGACAAAGAAAATTTTCTGAATTGAAAATAATTAAAAATATTAAATTTATAGAAAATCCACCCAATGATTTTTTATTATCTGATCATGCATTTTTTTTTATCATAAATTTTTCAGTATAAAATTATTGAACAATCATAAGAATTGATCATTGTCTACTACATTCAGTCTAAAAAAAAAAAATAAAAAAGTCTAAAAATTGTCCGATAGATACTTGTGTCAATATATCATACTATTTATAATACAGCTCTTACAGTTATATAAAAATTATTTTCGTTTATATTTTCTTTCAGACATGGATTATACGAAACCCTTTTGTATAATTGAACGGAAAAAAAATGATTTTATTGTTTACCCTACGAAGTTTGTATATTTTACTGATGAAAAAAATGAAGTACATCCTTTGTCACAGTCTATAGGTCCAGTAGATAAAGTATCAGCGCGGAACGAAGAAGGAAAAATAAGACCTATTCTCAGAATACTTGTATGTGGAGGTAAGTCAGGTTTTTACATATTAATCAATTAAAACAAATTACTTTTTAATTTGATTGTTTTTTATATTTGTCTATATTATCAAAACTATCCTGTGCTAGATAGATTGCGGATATTAAGTAATTTTATGTTATTAACGGCAAAATATTTTTGTCTTAAATTAATGACTTTATAGTACTTCTTCTTTGCAATTCAAATAATAAACAACAATTTGTTGTTATCAAAAAATTTCTAATTAAAATGATTTATCAATGATTTCTTATTCACAGATGATATGGAAACTCTAAAGCAATCTATACAAATAGATAAAAGATTGAAAGTTAGAAAAAGTCTGTCTATCGTTGATGAACCTGAGAGCAATGGCGCTAAAAAAAGACGAATCGCAATTTCAGAGAAACAAGATGTCAATTTAAAAAAGGTCAGTAAAAAAATTATAATTGATGAAGGCTTATATTTTTATAACAGTTCATGAAGACAAAGAAATACTAAGAATATTTATTTTTTAAGAAAAAGATTAATCAGGCTACGAAGGATGTTTACAGTCGAGAGGATGGCGCTTTTGTAAATTATGTAAAGGTAAATCGTGAGTTTTAATCATAAAAAATTAGCTAGAAGTTAATACATTACTTTTTACATAATACATAATTATTTTAATTACATAACTGAATTTCATAGTGATTAAAACAAATGATGATAAGCTGATTACAATATTTTTTATCTAAAACTTTGGTAACAAAATGGACAATGGAAAGACATAGTTTTAAAGAAAAAAATTTATTACTTTTATTTCAAGCAGCTATCTAAAACTTATAGAATTTGAACCAAATTAAAAAATTTTTAATATCCTATGACTAGAAAGTTATATAAAACATTTATACAAATCAACATACATTTTTTTTTTAATTTGGATAAATCCGTTATTTATATTAATGACCTTTAATTTTTAATAGCCGAGATCTATTGCCAACAAAACAGTAGACAAGCGAATAGTCGAACATAGTGACAATGAAGATGACGATGGTGAAGAAAATAATAATGCTGATGAACGTTCAAATAGCAGCCAAAATGAAGATGAAGGCTCTAGAATACTTGAAAATTTGCAAAATTTGAGGGCAAGGCAAGAAGAACAAGTTGAGCAGAGTATTGCAGGAACTAGTCGTCGAATTGATGAAAATAATTTGGATGGCCTTGGTGAATATGAATTGTTATTGGAAGAAACGCTGCCAGTTATAGATGCTGATGACTTGGATCCTATTTATACATCATCACCAATTATTCCAGAAGAAGATAATTCTGCAATACCTTTAAATGATGATCAGAATAAAAATCCAAATAACGCTGAAAATGGTTCAACTGAGAATGGTTCAAATGAGAATGATTCAACTTCAAATGATTCAACGTCAAATAATCAACCCTTTGATCAGTTATTTTCAAATTTATGGCCAGATACAAATAATTCAAACGTTGAGCAGGAGAATCCAACAGTTACTGTAAGTATCACGCAGTTGAAACAGTGTTTTAAGGAATTTGGGAAACATTTAATGGGAAATATGCTACAAATACAGAAAGACACGAAAAATAATGGAGAAGAATTTGAGATACCTCCGGTTGTCAACAATAAGGTAATTATTTGGATACTTTTTAGAAACAATCAAAATTCATTATAATTTGTAAAAAAAATTTTTACAGCAATTTGAATATAGTAAATTGAAAAATTCTTATTTTTTTCTAGTGTGGAAGTATTATATTTGAATTATACTAGATCGTAAATTATTGATTACAACTTTTACCCTGTACGCTTTCGAGAATTATTTGAACTTTAAATTTTAAATGATGCTTACATAGACATGACAATTAATAATTGAGATTTGATAAAAATATTTAATTTATTAGTTATAAGATAGGAATTCTGTTGATTCAAGCATGTTTTGTGACAGTTTTGCACAAAAATAAGTAATATATTTAAATTAATAATTTTTGTGTAAATGTTCTAATAATCGTAATTAATTTTTTATCATAAATCATAAAATACTTTTTTGTTGACAAAAATATATATTCTTTAAAATTTTTTCTTTCTCATAAGATATTCAATATAGCTTACTTAAACTATACATTATGGAAAAGTCAAATATAAAACTTAAAGTTTATTTAAAATAAATTATAAATTATGAAATAGAAAAAAATTATTCGGTAATATAGCTAAAATTGAATCAATGTACTGTAGTGTAAACTAAGATGATAGAGTTTAACTAAGATAATTGTCTAAGTCATGTGTTTACCGAATTTCAAATATTTATTTAATCAGTAATATATAAATTATAATTATTATTTAATATATTATAATCACTCTAAAATATTTCATTGTAATTTTACAGATAAACATTTTTGGAGTAGATCTTGATGCTGAACAGCTTTACAAAGCTAAAGATGTAAAAACCATGAGACAGTGTGTAAACAATGTTTTCAGAGCATTTTGGCCACTTGAAACCCGAAAAAGATTGGTTTTATCAAATAGAGCGGGAAAGCCTGCTAACAGCATTACAATTCAAGAAAATGAAATTGAAAAGATCAAAAGTGAGTAGTGTTGATGCAAATTTCAAAGACATAAACTATCCACAATTAATAATCATTAAATTTTTCATTTATTATGATGACACTGACTTAAAAAATTAAGTCAATTCATATTTGATAAATAATCAATTATGTTTTGAACTTAATGATTCAATAAGAACAAATTTTTCATAAAAAAAAAATTTCACTATTGCTTTTTTTTGTTGTAATTGGCTGCGTTCAGGTTTACTAAATTCTGTGCAGGGCTGACTTTATCAACCAAAAAATTAATTTTAGACACATTCAAATAAATATAACTTGCATTGTTTTATTATAGATTTTTAAAAAAAATTATAAAGTTACTTTAAGTTGTTGCTACAAGATATGCTAAGTTCTACCAAGAACTTAGTAAACTCGAACGCAGCCAATTGACTTGAACTTCTATTAAAAGAAATTTATTATTAAGTGAATGTTACCTACGAGAAATCGTGAAAATGTTCTTAACCATGATTAAAAAAAAAACATTTAAAGTGATTGAAATTGATTGAAAAAATTTAGAGGTTTGATTTTTATTACAATATAAATATCAACGGTGTAATTAGTAATTTGTCTAACTCCATATTTTTTAGAGGGTGATTTTTTTAACATTTTGATGTAGCCATAATCGAATTATAAATTATTTGAATGATTCAAATCTAAATATTATATCTCTAATAGATAATAATGATATTAAATGGTTTTTTAAAGTGATAATGAATTTTGAACTAATTGTTTTTTTCGTACAAATAGAAGATTCTCTAAAATGGAGTTAGACAATTTACTAATTAGAACGTAGATATGCACTTTGCATTGAGAAATTTTTTTAAAATCTTTTTTTTTAACTAGAGAAAGAAATATCGAAGTTTGAAATACTTGAATTCATAACGATCAAATTAAAATATAATAATAATAATAATAATGACAATAATACAGTCAATAATAATTGTTAATTCGCAGAAAAATTAACTGTAAGAAACGACTGTTGTTAAAAGATTGATAACGTTGTAGAATATTTTTTTTCGTAATATTTAATATCCTAGACTTTAGATTAACGTGATTAAAAATATTTTTACATAAAAATTTGTATCGTATCATTATTGAATATTCAATAATAAATATTTATTCACATTTGTTTACTAGTAGTTAGCACTCCTCAAAAACATAAAAAATTTCATTTAAACTCATTATAGAATAAAATTAACTCAATCTTTTATTTACAGAAATCTGTAAGCTTCTCCAAAAAGGACGTAACTTTGACAAAAAAGATCCAGATAATTGTATGGAAAATATAAGATCCTGGATTGATGCAGTGTTAAAAAATGATAGAAGGCCACCACTGACAGATGAACAAAGAAAAGCCAGGAATGAAAAAGCAAAGCAGTGGCGAGAACAAAAAAAATTACCCCCAACAGAAGGAGGTAGCAATGTAAGCGGCCGAAAAAGACAACGGAAGTCTTCTAAGAGTAATAAACAAGTCCAGAAAAGTGTTTAACCACGTAGTTAAAAAAACTAGATATATCTATCCCTAAAAATATAATCTTATTTGAAAACTTTAATATTTTATAGTTTACTTCCGTTATTATTGAGTGCTTTTAGTTCGTATAAAATACGAATCCAAGTTTCTAAAAATCTTCTTAAATATTTTATATTGTCATTAATGTTCTCAAATAGTTTATTTTTATATATTAAAGTGGCTGCAAAATTTTATTAATCAAAATTTTATTTTTTTAAATTTTTGTATTTTTGCAAGATAGAAAAATTAAAATAAAGATATAGACAGGATTATTTATGCATTTATTATAAGAACGATAAGCTTTATAACGAAACTATAATTGATAATGAAAAAAATCAAAATAATTTAAAAAATGTCATTTTAAATTAAAAATAAGTTTTTTTTTTGGTCTTGTACTGTTGTATGAATAAATTTTAATGTTTATACCTTTCATATCTATATATTATGGTTGTTTTGTATGTTGGAACACTGAAAAAACATCAAAAATATAATGCTAATAGTACCCGTGTAAAAAAAAACTTGTCATAAAGTTGTCATAAAGTTGTCATAAGCTTATGATCCTAAACGTGACACAATTTAGGACACTTTTATGACAACTTTATGACACCAAGCCGAAATAAAATTTGGATTTTGGAAAAATATTAGAGCACTTACTAAAAAAAAAAAATGTTGCAGAGTACGTTTACGAAAATTTTAGGATACTTTCATGATAATTTTATGACAACTTTAGGACAATTTTATTCGACTTTTATGACAATTTTAGGAAACTTTTATGAATATTAGGATAATTTTATGACAATTTAATGACATAATGAAAATTTTATGACTAGTTTATGAGACTTTTATGACAATTTTAGGAAACTTTTATGAATATTAGGTTAATTTTATGACAATTTTATGACTACTTGATGACAATTTTATGACCACTTTTTGACAACTTTAGGACACTTTTATGAAAATTTTAGGAAACTTTGATGAATATTAGGATAATTTTATGACAATTTTATGACTACTTTATGACAATTTTAGAAAACTTATGAATTTTATGACTACTTTATGACAATTTTTGACAACTTTAGGGCACTTTTATGAAAATTTTAGGAAAATTTGATGGATATTAGGATAATTTTATATTATAAAAATTTTATGACAATTTTATAACTACTTTATGACAATATTATGACTACTTTATGACAATTTTATGACTACTTTATGACAATTTTATGACTACTTCAGGACACTTTTATGAAAATTTTAGGAAACTGATGAATATTAGGATAATTTTATGACATTATAAAAATTTTATGACTACTGTATGACAATTTTATGACTACTTTATGACAATTTTATGACTACTTTATGTCAATTTTATGACTACTTTATGACAATTTTTAACAACTTTAGGGCACTTTTATGAAAATTTTAGGAAAATTTAATGGATATTAGGATAATTTTATATTATAAAAATTTTATGAGAATTTTATAACTACTTTATGACAACTTTATGACAATTTTATGACTACTTTATGACAATTTTATGACTACTTTATGACAATTTTTGACAACTTTAGGACACTTTTATGAAAATTTTAGGAAACTGATGAATATACTTTATGAAAACTTTATGACAATTTTATGACTACTTTATGACAATTTCATGACAACTTTATGACACTTTTATGACTACTTTATGACAATTTCATGACAACTTTATGACACTTTTATGACTACTTTATGACAATTTCATGACAACTTTATGACACTTTTATGACTACTTTATGACAATTTCATGACAACTTTATGACACTTTTATGACTACTTTATGACAATTTCATGACAACTTTATGACACTTTTATGACTACTTTATGACAATTTCATGACAACTTTATGACACTTTTATGACTACTTTATGACAATTTCATGACAACTTTATGACACTTTTATGACTACTTTATGACAATTTCATGACAACTTTATGACACTTTTATGACTACTTTATGACAATTTCATGACAACTTTATGACACTTTTATGACTACTTTATGACAATTTCATGACAACTTTATGACACTTTTATGACTACTTTATGACAATTTCATGACAACTTTATGACACTTTTATGACTACTTTATGACAATTTCATGACAACTTTATGACACTTTTATGACTACTTTATGACAATTTCATGACAACTTTATGACACTTTTATGACTACTTTATGACAATTTCATGAC